CTTTCAAAAACCCTTTCAAAGGGTGTTTTAGTACATGTAGGGCACTCTCCCACATGTGATGAGGTCACCTTCTTAAAGCCCCATAGATCTGGAGATATAGCTCAGCAGCACAGCCCATGCCTGACAAGCACAAGGTCCTGAGTTCAATTCCCAGTACAAAAAAAGGCTCCATAGGTCAGTTCCTTCTCTTTAACAGAAGGTTCATTTTTGCCTTAGTGACTGCGCTGTTCTTGTTACTACTATTCCTACTGGAGCTTTACCTTAATTTCATCCTCTGTAACAGTGAAGACATCATCCACAAGGTCCCTTATGATAGGCCATGTATTTGTGCCAATGCTGGATTTGACACCATCTGCTACAGTTTCTGGAGGATAAGTATTGGGAGTCAATTCCCCTTTCAGTTTGGACTGGTAGCAGTCATCTGCATTCAAGGGTTCAGCAGCATATACTTTCACACTAGGTTTCAAAGCCTGAGAAAAGGAATATTAGACACCTTAAAACCTAAGACCTCACTTCAGGTCTTGGATAATAGCATTGTGTGCATGCCCAAAATAGGCATACTAGGTCATATATTTCTGCCTAAGAGGTTTCTTGACAACATGGCCTTCAAGCATTTTATAAAATAAGTTGTATGTTTAATACCAGCCTTTTTAGTTGCCTGTATCAACTGGTTCTGGTAATTCAGGAAGGGTAGTCCCTATCATGGATAATAGTTTGGTGAAAAGGATTCAGGGGAAGGACTGAGGTGTCATTCAGTGTAATCACATTGTGCTGTAAAGTCATAGGGTAGTAAAGCACAGAAGGGCTTTGCGTCTCAGGTTCCAAGACATGTTGGGAAAGAGTGGCAATTGGGATAGTGACCAAGTTTCCACAGTGTAATATGATGTAAATAAATCCTCAGTGCCAAATGCCCAAAAAAAAAAAAAAAAAAAAAAATATCATCACCATACCTCACACATCTAGAAAGAACATACCTAAAATTTATCTGGATCCAGAAGACATCTAGAATAGCAAAGGCAATCCTAGTGGACAAAGGCAAGACAGAAGACATCATGACTCCTGACTTGAAATTAGACTATACAACTACTGTGTACTCACACACAAAAAAAACAGACCTAAGGATCAATAGAACAGATTAGAAGATATAGACACAATTACAAACACACTCAGCCACCTTATCATTGACAAAGGGACCAAATACATTCTATTAGAAGAAACATAACCTCTTTTACAAATGCTGCTGGAAAAATTGGCTTTCCACAAGCCAAAGGCTGAAAATAGGCCCATGCCTATCACCAGTCAAGATGGATCAAAGATTTAAATATTAAAATTGAAACGCTAAATCTACTGGAGGATAAAGTTGGTAGAAATCTTAAAGAAATATGGGTAGGTAGAGAATTCATCAACAAAAATGAAATTTTATGGAAAATACTTCAAAGAATCAGAAATTGGGATTTAATCTTTTTGAAAAGTTTTGCATATCAAAATAAATCACCAGATATACTGAGCAAGCCCGGAGAAGCAGTCTCAGATCCTGATGGTGCAGCAGCCTGCAGTCTCAGCTAGGGAGTCCCAGCCGCTTTCAATGGCAGAGAAGTCTGGCCAGCCACAGCCTCAGCACCATCACAGCCACCACCATCCACACCATCACCCTCAGCAGTCGCAGCAGCAGTCGCACCATCACCACAATTATTATTTCTACAACCATACCCACAACCACCACCATCACCAGCAGTCTCACCAGTACTTGCAGCATGGAGCCGAGGGCAGCCCCAAGGCCCAGCCAAAGTCACTGAAACATAAGCAGAAACACACCCTCCAACAGCATCAGGAAACACCGAAGAAGAAAACAGGCTATGGTGAAATAAATGGTAATGCTGGAGAAAGAGAAATATCTTTAAAGAGCCTGGGTTCTGATGAAGCTACCAGCCCTATTTCCAGGGTCCTCAATGGCAACCAGCAAGCTGTAGATACTAGTCTGAAGCAGACTGTGAAAGCTGGCACCTTTGGGAAGACAGGAATTAAAACCAAGAATTTCATTCAGAAAAACAGT